TGAACGAAAGAAAGCAAGATTAGTTGCAAAAGGTTTCACTCGGTGAGAAGGCATTGATTATGTTGAAACCTTCTCACGTGTCTCGTCCAAAGATTACTTTCGAATTATTATGGCACTTGTAGCACACAATGACTTGGAGCTTCATCAGTGGGAGAAATTTTAATTTTCTTGTCCTGTATGTTGATGACATTCTGCTTGCTAGCAGTAACTTAGGATTGTTTCATGAGATAAAGAAAAATGTTGTCTGCTAATTTTGAGATGAAAGATCGAGAAGCTTCCTACGTGCTTGGCATTGAAACACATCGTGATAGGAATCGTGGCTTACTGGGACTTTATCAGAAAGCTTATATAAGACATGTTTTAGAAATGTTCAATATGCAAAACTGTGCACTTGGTGATGTACCTATAATAAAAGGGGATAAGTTTAACAAAACTCAATATCCAAGGAATGATCTAGAAAGGGAATCTACGAAAATGATTCCATATGCTAGTGCTATGGGGAGTTTGATGTATGCTCAAGTTTGCACTAGACTGAATATAGCCTAAGCAATCAGTGTCCTTTGTAGGTATTAGTCGGATCCAGGATAAAAACATTGGAAAACAGTTGAGAAAGTTATGAGATACTTGAAGAAAACTGAATGTTATATGCTTACATTCTAGCTTTCAAATCATCTTGAGGTAACTATTATTTAGATTTTGATTTTGTTGGATGTCAAGATGATTTGAAATCAATCTTAGGTTATATTTTCACGTTAGCTGATGGTGCTATCTCTAGAAAATGTGCTAAACAGACTCTAGTGGCATATTTTACTATGCAAGCTGAATTTGTGGCATGTTATGGGGCAACAATCCAAACCATTTGGTTAATAAATTTTATTTCTGGATTGAAAATTGTTGATTCCATCTCAAGACTAATCACCATATACTGTGATAACAGTGAAACAATGTTCTTTTCAAAGAATAATAAAAGTTCTGGTGGATCAAAGCATATTGATATCAAATATTTTGTAGTTCGAGACAGAGTCAAGGAAGAGCAAATAAAATTAGAGCATATTAATACAGAGGCAATGATTGCAGATCCTTTTACTAAAGGAGTCAAAAGTTTTTAAGACACATGTTGCTATTTTGAGCATTGTGGAAACATTTGATATTTTTGGTTAGTGGAAATTATTTATGTAAGAGAACTAAGTCTTAGGCTTGATCCCTTTACGAGGTACATAGGCAACCATATGTTTTTCGGGTACAGTCTCTTTTGATAATAATTTTTTTCCCTATCCATGAATTATTTTGAGCATGCATTTAGCTAATGTCTTTTCATTATGATATTACTGTAATCTCCAGATATGACAAGATAAAGACATAAGATGAGTCTCTTTTAGAGACATGTGATTTCATTTTGATCTAAGCATTATGAGGACCGATATGACTTAGCACAGTTTTTTATCACATTTGGTTCTAAGTTTATACCACATACTCCCACCTTGATTGAAGGATGGGGATCCATGTCAATAAGGATGTTGACATTTGCAGATGTGGAAGTGTCTTGCATCGCTTAATTGATGTAATGACTTCCATGTTCGGTGTTAATATTCTTGTTGGACTGGATCGTGTTACGTAAGGTGTCATCATTGGAGCTATACTTTTGTGGCCACCTATGTACTCTAATTCAGGTGTTAAAAGTTTTGTTATAACAATCAAATGTTTGTCCAAGTAGGAGAATGTTGGAATATTTCTAATGTGGGGTTCTCATTTGATTGTTTATTTTACAGGTTAGATATATATGGCTCATAATGATATTTGTGATTGGGTCAAATTTATTAAGTGATCAATTGGATCTTTTACACCTTACGGGTTGTATTTAATATGATGTGGTAATTTTAAGTATTTGGACCGAATATAAACTCTAATTAGAGTTTCAATCATAATGAGACGGCTCAATAATTTCTTATATAAAGGCTAAGTCAGCTCTCCTCTCCATGTTGTTTTATTAACTTGCTCCATTGACGGCTAACACTTTGTAAGGAGTAAAGAATGAAAGATCTAACTGGTATTATTCATATCAACGATAGCTTCCGCGATATGAATTCGATTTATCAATTTATAATTATGTGATTCTTGATTCTTAGCGTGATTATAATTAAATTCAACAAGCTGTCAACCTTTAGAGATGCAGAGCAAGTGATTTTAGTGGAATTTAGTTTGCTCTTTAGTGGGATCTTTGTTTTCTTGAAGAACTAGTTTCTTGATTTCAAACCTATGTTTTGTTAAGGTTGTATAGCGATATCATGTATGAGAGATATGGGTGCTTCGTTGCAGTTAAGTTGAGATGAAGTTTGAAATCAAGATAGGAGAGTCTTTTGTTAGAATCAGGATCATGTGAATTCATTTGATTCTTATTTTCAAGACCCCTATCATGTGTGTTGTGTTCTTTTCTTCCTATCAAACTATGACACTTGTGCAATTTTGAGTAAATAGCTGATGATGAGATTCGAACTTAAGAATAATATCATGTTGAACAATTTCACCTATATGTGAAAAGAAAACAATTTATTAATTTTAAAAATTTGCATAGAGAAACATTTATAATTAGCAAGCGGTCTTTTCGAAAGTCAATTACACAATGCTCTAACGATATTTAGAGACAAGGAAAAGGTCAATTAGCCTTTTTCGGTGAAGATTAAAATCAAATTTTTAGTAGATTTTGATAAAAGTTGATGAAATATATTATTAAAAAGATGTAGGTCCCATTGAATATGTGGTTAAAATTTAATTGTTAATTTTGACGTAGATTAAAATCTATACCGAAAAGGGCATATCATATAACTCAATCACAAATTTAACGAATGAGTTCATAATTGATTTAGTAATTTGGAAATAGAATAATGCTACACAAACAATATTTTCTCTTTAATGTTAAGCTAGTTTTTTCATGTATTTTTACTATTGTTATTATTACATTTTCATTTATTGGCTAATTAATGATTGTGTTTAGTGATTTGTATATCGCTTGAGAAAAGATCGTGTATTTTAAATCAAATAGTAGAAATCCTAGGTTTGTGCAGGGTATAGAGATATGTTCCTAACCTTAGGTGGCTCATTGATCTATATTCATAAGGATTTAATGCAGTTGTTTGGTTTTGATCGACATAGAGATATAGCAAGTTAAACCAATCAATTAGAATTAATTTCACTCAAGAAATGTAGTTAACTAAAATTGAAAAATCAGATCTAACATAGTAAAGAGTAATTTGTTAATTGGCCTGTGGAAAAATTAATTACGTGACGGTTAAGTGAAAGCATGAATCCTAATCATGTTTTCCTCCAAAATTCTCAAGTATTATGTTTTCTTGTTTTGTAAAATTTTGTTAATTTTCCTTATTTTTAAAAATCAAATCTTGCTGCACGTTTGTTTTTGTAGTTAGAATTAAATTAATTAAAGTTGTGTAATCGAAAATAAACATTCCTCAAGGGATCAACAACTCGGACTTAAAAAGTCTACTTTATTACTTGTGTGCGTACTTTATTAATGAACACCTTACCACATCCATATTTGGGTTACATTGTTGCTGTGTTAAGAGATAAAATCCCACATCGAGCAGCAATGAAAACATAGATCAATTTATAAAGTTTGGGCTACTATTCTTAATAATATTGATCTTTTAAGATAGAATCTCAAATCTTAACATACTACACGTCTTGCGTCGAATTTTTTTCCAAAGCCTCGTATGAAAAGAAAGAATAATCTTTAAATAGGTAATATTCATACCCTTTACTGTTTCGCATTTTCTTCTATAAAGCTAGTAAAGCATTCAAACTTCACGACATAAACATCATTCATTTTTGCAGTAGGCACTACCACTTATATCAAGTCATGATAATGCTTTTTATCCACTTTATGAAGATTACAATTCCACACGATGAGGGTCAAGTCATTGAATCTCTGGAATAAGAAGCATCTTTTAGTTATTTGAAGCAGCGGTCCTATTTGGTTATATCCGTTTTATTTATTTGAAGTAGCGGTCCTAATCATATAAGCCCGAAAAGTCTAATGAATGTCATTCTCATAATTAAGTAGATTAAAGAAATGGGAGAAGGCATTAATAGTGACAAGAATTTTCTAAATTTTTTAATTAAATTTTGAATGGGTCAAACTTAATTTTAATCAAACATTTTAGAGTAATACTATTTAGTCTCACTGGGGTTACAACCACGGTCTAGGTGACGTTAATGTAGTATTAAATGATAGATGGAATTAAATAAATCATTCAATTTCACTTTTCGTTCAACCTATCATCTATCGCCACCTAGACTGAGGTTTTAACCTTAATGGGGCTGCATAGCATAATTCCAAATTTGATAGAATCTAGAACTTTATTAACTTTTCAACCACTCGTTACATCAACTTTTATCAAAATTGCTTAAACTTTTACGAGAGGCTTTGTATTAAAAATCCCATAGTACACAATGAATTTGTATAGAGTGCATGTTCCTTCTCATTTCACCTGCCAAATGAACTATAAAGCAATGCTCTTTTTCCTCGATATTGTTGTGTTTCGTCTAGTCGATTTCCAAAGTCAAGTAAGGACTTCTTGAAGCACTACAAAGTACTTAGTACTTTACAAGAAACTAAGATAAATTTCAAAATCTTTTTTTTTTAATTCTATAATTATTTCATTTTGATTAAAAAAATTGTTGTAATTTATAGAAGAGAAAATGCAAGCGATAAATCATAACCACATGCAAAAATATTTAGTGTATATTATTCAAAATCAGCTAGCAGATAAGACATAAACGAATCAATCAAGTATATCAAATTTTACAGCAATTAATGCAACATAATTTTTGATAATGAAAACATTGCCCCTCTAAACACTTCAAGAGGAGACTGTTCTAGTCAAGATAAGATGTTTGTGGCTTTCGAAGTTAAACAAGAATATGTATAAGCAAACGTGTCTATATATAGTTGGTGGGCTGGAGTTCAGTTAGGCTACAAAAAAACCATGGGATTGCATTTGCATTTGCTGCAAGCCAAATTACTTGTGTTAATTCTGCTTATTTTTGTTTCAAAATCAATTTCTACTCAAGCTAATTTCCAAATAGCAAACCCCAAATGTAGGGATCATTGTGGAAATGTAAGTATTCCCTTCCCTTTCGGCACGAGGGAAGGCTGTTACTTTAACGAAACATTCTCAGTCACTTGTAATGAAACCCACTATGATCTTCCGAAACTATACTGGACAAACTCAACCATCCAAATCACAAACATATCCCTGGAGGGCCAAATGCGTGTCTCACAATTCATAGCAAAAGACTGTTATTCTCAGAACGGCACCAGAGTGTTGTATAAAGATCCCTGGATAAAGGTGCCTCTTGGATTCACGATCAACAATACTACCAATAAGTTCATCGTCGTTGGTTGTGATACTTACGCTTATGTATCCGGGTACCGGGAGAACCGAAATTACGAGACTGGGTGCACGTCCACGTGTGACAACAAGGATGATCTGGTTGATGGCTCATGTTCTGGTTTAGGCTGTTGCCAGATGTCTATCTCGAAACATGTGTGGGAAGTTGAGGTGACGTTGAATTCCTTCAATAATTTCTCATATGTGTGGGACTTCAACAATTGCAGCTATGGTTTTCTTGCTGAGGAAAGTACATTCAATTTTTCTGCAAGTGAATTTTCCCGCCTGAGGAATGTAGAAATGCTTCCTTTGGTGATTGACTGGTCAGTTGGAGACAGAACTTGTGCGGAGGCTCGAAATAACACTTCTAGTTATGCATGTAAAAGTGTGAATTCCGAGTGCTATGAGCCTGCTAATGGTTACGGATATCGATGTTATTGCCAAGCGGGTTATCAAGGAAATCCATACCTTTATCATGGTTGCAAAGGTATGACTATATTTAATTCTTTCCTACATTATCTTGAAAGTCGTACATATCACTCTCCCATTGAATGGCCTAGTGTTTTTTACAATTTATAAGTTAACAAAATTTTAACTTCATTTTCTTTTTTATTATTGATATTCTTGTTATGCAGATATTGATGAATGTCAAGATCCAAGTCTCAATGATTGTGAACATAAATGCGAGAACATACTAGGGAATTTTAGGTGTGTTTGCCCAAAAGGTCACCATGGTGATGGGAAAAAAAATGGCACAGGTTGCATTCGCAGTGATCAATCGTTCGTCTTTAAACTTGTTGCAGGTTAGTACAAATTCCATGCATAAGTATCTTAACCCTTTCATCTTCTATTTCCATTTTTTTTAACCCTGTCAAGAGAATCACAAGAATAGGCCCGCCCAACCTTGAATACCTCTCATATTTCCAAAAAATAATTTCTGGCCTATTTGTTTAATGAAAAGTAGGGGAAAGAAGCTAACCTATGTTCTTTTGGCCACATAAAAATTTCAATAACAGGAATTGCTACAGGAGTTAGTGCTCTGCTGCTTGCTGGCTGTTGTTTATGCCTCGAACTCAATAGAAGAAAGTTGGTCACGATGAAGCGAAAATTCTTTCTTCAAAATGGTGGGTTATTGCTGCAAGAACAACTTATTAGAAAAGAGAAGTCAACAGATATAGCAAAACTATTCACATCTGCAGAGCTAAAGAAGGCAACAAACAATTTTCATAACAGTAGGATTATTGGTCAAGGAGGATTTGGAATAGTGTACAAAGGCATCTTATCAGATAATCGAATAGTTGCCATCAAGAAATCCAAACAAGTTGATCCAAACCAAGTTGAGCAATTTATCAATGAGGTGATTATTCTTTCCCAAATCAACCACAAAAATGTTGTTAGACTCCTTGGTTGTTGTTTAGAGTCACGAGTTCCTCTCCTAGTTTACGAGTTCATCGACAATGGTACTCTTTTTGAACACATAAACAACAAAACAAAGGCACGCATTCTTTCTTGGGACAAGCGCTTAACAATAGCTGCAGAAGCTGCTGGAGTTCTTACATATTTGCACTCTGCGGCTTCTCCTCCAATCATACACAGAGACGTCAAATCAGCAAACATTCTCTTAGATGCTAATTTCACAGCAAAGGTCTCAGATTTTGGGGCATCAAGATTGGTTCATATGGATAAAACTCAATTATTTACTATGGTGCAAGGAACCTTTCGATACTTAGACCCTGAATACTTTCAAACAAACCAATTGACTTAGAAAAGTGATGTTTATAGCTTTGGAGTAGTTCTTGTGGAGTTACTAACAGGAAAGAAGGCATTAAGTTATGATCGACCAGAGGAAGAGAGAAATTTAGCCATCTATTTTCTTTTAATGCTAAAACAAGGCAACTTATTCCAAGTTCTTGATGATAACATTGTACATGAAGGAAACAGTGAACAATTAATATCGGTTGCTATGCTCACAAAAAGGTGTTTATACGTTAGAGGAGATGATAGACCTAGTATGAAGGAAGTAGCTATGGAACTTGAAGGTCTAAGGCTATCAGGAAAACACTCATGGGCACAAACTGATCCCAATGCAGAAGAGATGGAATCTCTTGTCTCTGTGGAATTGAAAACCTTTGTAAATGGTGAGGGTAATGGTACAAGTGCTGTATATGATAGCATGGGGGATCATATTGTTCTACCAGTGGGTAGTGGCAGATGATCAAAAGGCAATTATGGCATTTTAGCATATCCAGCAAGAGACAGAATCTATTAATGGAGGTGGTTTACAGTAAACTTTGTGATTCAATGAATTTCACTCGTTAGAGTGGATTGTAAATTATTCTATTATATATTGTAATATATGTTGGATTAATATTGTTCATTACTGTCTAGTCCGACATACTAACAAAAAGAAGAAAAAATTGTATACAAGAAGCTATAGAATATTAGGCATGTCAAATGATTCCCAACTGAGTTGTCATCACTACGTGATTGTCGAACCTATTAAGCTGAGCCTTCAGCTAGACATGCACGTCTTACGGTGCCCATTTGGCTGAAACTTTGCTTTTGCCTCTATTTTTTTTTTTAATAGAAAATCTTATTGAGAAATTTATCTTAATTAATATTTGTAAACTAATTTTAAAAGAATTTTATCTTGCAAAAAACCTTTTAGAGAAAACTATACTAGATTTGCATTCTTTAAACATTTTATATAAAATTAATCAAATGGAGCTATTTTTGGATCTTAAAAACTCCTTTTGACTTCGCAAAATTCATTTCATTCTAGCCATTATTCTTTAAAGTATAGTTACAACATTTGTGATCGACATGCAAACTTATTACTAGTGTTGTTTTCTAGTTGCATTAATATATCCACCATTTCCATTACTGTGCCTAATATTGCAACACTTACATAATTATGAAGATTTGCATGATACCCAAATATATTATGTGTTGATCTTATGTTTGTCAACATTAATTCTAGTACAAAAATAACATAGCTATATTTATCTCCTTTCGTTACCTCGGGGGTTTCATATGCTGTCAACTTTGCTGCCATGGGTATACATATGATGCATATATAGGTGCTATTGCTCTCCAATGTTACCGTAGGATGTCATCTTTGGTGTTTTACAGTGTCGTAATCTATTGGATATTGTTCAAATTAATAATGACGAGTGATTTTGGAAATGATAAAAGTTGTTTAACCAAAACAAGAGAAAACAAAACGAGAACAAAAACGGTGAAGGTCGAAAAATGGCCTAGGCAACCGCTTGGCCTTGTGTTGCAATTACAATGATCATTTTGTTGAATTGGGTTGGCGCTTGTTTTTGTACTGGGTGGCCACCCAGTACAAAAAATTCTGACTGTTGGTTGTTTGAATTCTAGTGTCGTTTTAAAGTGTTTCAGACCTTTTTGACTTGATTTTTGCACCTTTTCGTGCATGGCGATTGTAGTTCAATACATATGACTGGTTTTCATGTTGGAAATCATATCACAAATATCAAATTGATTCCATTACATCCAAAATCTAAGATCAAACCATGTTTTTTTATAATTTCGTTCTTTAGTTCCTTTTTCCGTATTTTGTTTGCTTGAACTTGGATTAAGGTTCGTTTACTTCTACAAACTATTTTTCATAAAACCTTCAAGCACTTATTTTCGTTCTTCATCAACTTTGTTCAACATAATCTACCTCCATTAGTGCATAGAAGCCGGTATTGCTCCCCAACAGATGTTGTCGTGGCGTGCTACCTAAGGACCAGGCCTATCCTTTTGTAATCATATATGCATGGCACCCCATGGCATGGCAACACAATGGGCATGCCATGGCACTTGCATAGTCTCACTCAAAGAGTTGCAACATGTGCATGGCATGCCATGGAACTAATATCAAGAATGAAAGTTGGGAGTTTGAACAAGATCAAGTATTGTCTTAGTCTCGACCATAAACACACTAATCAGGTATCATCAGATGTTATGTATAGGACATTGCCGCCTTATGAAAAAGCAAATTCTTTTGGTTTTTGGGGTGAGTATGGTTACTATAGATTTTTTCGTTCAAGTAGACAATATCATGGGTACAAACTGAATCCAGCGCAGAAGAGATGGAATATATTATTTCTATGGAATTGAAAACCTTTACAAATGGTGGGGGTAATAGGTACTTTATATGATAGCATGAGGGATCATATTATTCTACCGATGGGTGGTGGCAGAAGATCTAAAGACAGCTACCACTGTCATTTAAGCATATCCAGGAAGAGATGGAATCAATTAATGGAGGAGGTTTATAGCAAACTTTGTGAATTCAGTGATTTTCACTCGTTGGAGTGGATTGTTAATTACTCTATTATATATTGGAACATATGGTGGATTAATGTTATACATTACTGTTTAGTTCGAATATTAATAAAAAGAAGAAAAAATTGTATCCAAGAAAAACAATTAATAAGGCATCGGGTCGGACACAGGTCCAACTTAGGGCCATGTTGGCCTAGGGAATTTTAAGCATGTCAGTTGATTCCAACTGGTTGTCACCTCTATGCGATTGCCGAAACTATTACCTTAAGCCTTCAGCTAGACATGTACTTTTTATGTCCCATTTGGCTGAACTTTTGCTTTTGCTTCTAATTTTTATAGAAGAGCTTATTGAAAAATTACCTTAGTTAGTGTTTCGAAACAAATTTCTAAAAGAGTTTTATCTTGGGGAAGAGCTCTTAGAGAAGGCTATATTGGATCTACTTTTTCTAAAAACTCTTCTATAAAATTAATCAAATGAATCCAAAATAAGATTTTGAATCTTAATAACTCCTTGTGACTTCTCAAAAATCATTTCAAACTAGCCCTTATTTTGTGTAATACAGTAACATTTGTAATTGAAATGTGATCTCTAGGAATTCCTTTGTACAAGCCACTCCAGTGCTCAATATACCAGCTATCCTTGATCTTATTACTAAAGTTGTTTTCTAGTAGCATTATTGGATCCACAATTTCAATTACTGTGCCTGGTATTGCAATATTTATATAATTATGAAGATTTGCATGATCCTCAAATGCATTGTGTGTTGGTCTTATGTTTGTCAACATTAATTCTAATACAAGAGTACCATATCTATATTCATCTCCTTTCGTCGTAGTCTTGGGTGTTTCATACGCTATCGACTCAGCTGCCATAGGTACATGTATGATGCCTATATTGGTGCCATGGCACTCCCATGTTGCTAATATGGGCCATAGAATGCTCACACTGCTGCATTGAGTTGCCACAGGCTACCATTTATGCTGATTTATAGTGTCATAATCTACCTCAATTAGTGCATAGCTGCCAGCGTTACTCTCCAACACATGGTACCATGGTTTGCCACCTAAGGACCAGTTTTATACCATTCGTACTCACAACCACGTCAGGTCACCAGTCAGTCTATGGGACCCCATGGCATGGCAGCACAATGGGCATGTCATGGCACTTGCGTAGTCCCACTCAAAGAGTTGCAACGTGTACATGCCAGGGAACTAATATCAAGAACGAAAGTTGGGAGTTTGAACATGATCAAGTATTGTCTTAATCCCAATCATAATCGTACCAATCAAGTATCATAACGTGTTATGTATAGGACTTTATCAACACCTTAAGAGAAAGCAATTTTATTTTTATTTTTTTGGAGAAAGGTTATTATAGATTTTTTTAGCTCAAGTGGACGATATGTTCTACAAGTAGTATAATAATGACTAGAATGTCGAATTCATGTAAATTGATATCTACTTATTTTTTTGTTTTAACTAAAATTAGCTTCGACCAATTTTAATTGGTTTTAATTTACTTATTTTTAATTACCAACTAAATAAAACAATAAAAAAGGAAATGAAAGGAAAGCTTGAAGTTTAATCAAATCAAGAAAGGTGCTATTGTTAACTTACTTTAATCATCAATTCGCCACGTATAATCAATTCTTAGTTTAAGTTAAAACTCAATATTCCTCATATATTAAATTTCTCTCTGAAAATAAACTAACCCAATTTTTATCCTCAATCCTATTATATCTCTATGAAGGATGCGACTAGATAAAAATGTAAGATAAAACTAGAAGTATATCTATCTCCTATATGACCTAATATTTTTTGTTATTTGAGCTAAAAAGCTTAAATATTACCTCTTGGTATGACCATGAATCCCAAAAACAGTCCTGCAATTGGCCATAAATTAATCCAATAACAATCAATCAAATAATAAGAATTTATATTTAAATTATAAAAGCAATTTATTGATTTAAAGAATTAACAAGGATTCATCAAAAAACCATCAACAAAACATTTAGCTTACCATGTTTTGAACATTAAATAAGTAATAAACACATAACCCAAATAATTTGGAAGAAAAGATGGATTCAACCCTTAATGTTAGATCTCTTCAGATTGTGAATTTTGATCTACAATTCTTAATTGCAATTCTTCTTCTTCTTCTTCTTCTTCTACTTTTTTCTTTTTCTTTTTTTTTTTTTTTTGAACCAATAGATTGCGATTTAGACTACAAATTTTTTATCAAATCATTTTTTTTAATTAGTTTTTCTATGGGAGGGATGATGCTGCCATCGATATGATTACATTTATAGATGTGATGTTTAGCCAGAGGTGGGGTAGATTAGGATGAGTGTGATAGGGTTGAGTGTTGATTGGGTGGGGATTGGGGGAAATGAAATTTTTCTAAATTTTTTGAAGTGTTAATATGTTATTAATAGTTTTAAGCCTGATTTATTTTTACTTTTTGAAAAGTTATGGCATTCAATTTGTAAATAAATAAATAAATTAGAAAAATTCTTTGCTTTCTTTTATTTTTGTTTATTTAAAGAAAATATAAATCTGTAATTTAATGGTCACAATGGAAGGAACGACGAGTTTTATTAAATAATTGAAAAGTTGAAGACGTAATATGCTAAATAGGTTGACGATACATTTATTAAATTTCACAAAATTTAAAGACGAAAAATGCAAATTTGCCTATTAAATATTGATCAATCCTCATAAGTTTAACCATTATTTCAATCCTGCACCGATATTTAGAGAGAGAAGTTTCTGTAGTAGAAATGCTAATGCATCATATGGAGCATAAATGACAGCATAACTGATTTAGTCCTTTGGAAAAGAACTAATCTCATTGAATATTTTGTGAATAAATATAGGAAAGAGTCTCTCCATGTAAAAATGAAAAACATGTACCTATTTATTTATATATTTTATTTTCATAATTATTTTTTAATCACCACTTGCTAGTTTCAGAACCCAAAAAAATGGAATTTGACATAATGTG